CCCTACACGTGTTTTTCTCAACGGCTGCTTGACAAACAGCCTTTCACAACAAGATGAAATTCATTCTTTAGTTTGTTGAGGTGAAACTTCAAGTATCATCTGGTAAAAGTACTTACATTAAAATAAAAATAATTTGCCAGTGCTTGAAGCAGTAATAAACTATTTAAGATTTTCAAAAAGGTAGCTCAGCAGATTACATATGTATATGAATCACTGCAGAAAATGTCAGAGGCTTAGAAATACAGACTGTTAAATACGGCTCATCAAAGCCTAAACAATCTTACCAATTCCAATGCAAAAAGGCTATCATCTTCCCAAACATTTTCAGAAATAGCATCACCAATAAGGAACATGTCTTCAACCAGCAATTCAAGAACTTCCATCGTCACTCTCCTACTGCCTAGGAATAAAAATGAGAGAATAAATTCAAATTCAGACAAAATATTGTATTATGACATTGAGAAAACATTATTTTCAACAAGGGATTATTCCAAATCCATAATTCTGATATTATGATTTTCCTATGCACTTTTACTAAACTAATGCTACTTGCCCTCAATCACAGAAGACAACAACTAGCCAAAATCACAATAGAAGAGACTACAGCAATCATACACTTGAAAAAAAAAAAAATCAATTTCCTTAAATCCTGAAGTACTACATAAGCTTTATTACAGCTTTAAATCATATATCTGGACTTCTTCGAAGTTCAGAATAAAGTCACATTCCCTCACCCAGACACCTAGGTTACAGATCTTCCATATATATTACCTATTCCTGTTAATCTGCATTTCTTCTCTAGCAGGAGTGGCTTTCTTCCTGGATTGAGATGTTCTTTTCAAAAGCAACAAAATGAGTATCTACTTTACTCACTTGTAGCTTTCTCCATAACAATTTCCCACCCATCCCTTGTTTTTAGGCTAGTATTTATTCATTTTCATTGCTCCTTCTGACTCAGGATCAGATAATAAGGCAGCTAATTGTGCTGGATTCAGCCAGGAAGGAGTTAACACTCTTTACCATGTGTGCTAGAAAGCTGTGTTCCTG